TTCCCCTATCCATGGAAACTACCATGTTGGCTCGTAAGTTCAGGATGTAGGATTCCGAACGGAAGAGTCACCTTGGGTCAATCCCCTAACCAGTAGTGGGTACCACAAAGGACTAGCGTAGGTATATAGCCCTATTATTTTCATACGAGCTATTACTGTAGGAACGGTTGACCTAAGGTGCACCTGTCTGTGACATACCTGATACAGGGGGCTGCGTCGCTTTGTCGGGATGCTTCCTCTCCCAAAGCAACATGGATCTTCCTCTGTATTGGGGACTGTGGCAAGCCTAGGAGGAATATGGTTTAGGAGCTACCTCGAGAGATTATGTAAGGACTTCTGTGTGAGCCATAGCCTAATCTCCTAGTACCCCCCTTAATAACCCGTATAGTACTCCCCTATACAATCCCCTATGAAACCGCCCTTATTCAGGAGTTTAGACTATGACGTATATAGATCCCTTCATGACAAGGACGGGAATCTTTGCAGGGCCATTTTCAGGTTCCACGTTGATTTGATGTGGAGAAAGGGGACATGGGGTCCCACTCGCAGCAGAAATTAGTTTCCCGGGATTAGGGGTCCTTTTTGGGAGTCCCTGTACTAAGGAGTGTAACATATTAGGGTCTATGTTGCGACCCCCTGTTTATGTAAACCCCACGTATTCAATTCTGCATACAGCCCGTCCCCAAATCCTAGCCAAACAAGTTGCTTCCACAACAAAGCTCAACCCTAAAACCTTTGAACTCTAGGCAAAGCCCCAACACTCCAAACACTACACAAAAAAAAAGTCTAAAGACCCCTGGTAGCCGTAAAAACACCAAAGCCTCACCCTCTTTGATCTACTTAGGTGCCTGCATAGTCAGGAGCGACTTGAAGAGGAATCCAGATAAGGAAGCACCACTGTAGACCTGCGCTATAAGGTAGTTTCCCTAAATGGGGGGACCCCAATATAGACCCTAAAATACTATAGTCCTTATTATAGGGACTCCCAAAATGGTACCCCTAATTTTGGGAATCTACCATAAAAGTTCAACTTACGGAGCGGGGCTTATAGCACTAGGCTATGGGGTCAAGATTCAGGTTCACACGCTGCTCATGCTGAACCTACGGTCCCTTAACCTTAAGCCTACTCCGGGTACCCCCGCCTCTGCTTGACCCTAAACCCAACAAAGCCCACTGCCTGGAAATCCTCAACATTGGGCTTAAGGTTCGACACCCGTGGCTGGAATGGCATGCTTGAAGCCTACAACGTTTTCCAGAACATTGTAAACTTCGCACGGACGATGTCAACAGCTGGAGCGCGGACAGCATGCAAACCCAAAGGTTGCTACACTTCACTGCCTTGTGCTTAGGGTTTAAGGGTTTAAGGGGTTTAAGGGCTTTAAGGGTTTTAAGGGGTTTAGGGGGTTTAGGGGGTTTATGGGTTAGGGTTTAGGGTTTAGGGTTTAGGGTTTGAGGTTCTTAGTAGGAGTGGGGGAATGGGTCCCCGTAGCACACCCTGTGAAACCCTTACAAAGTGGTCGCTAGAACCCGACCCCTCATTTCCAAATTAAGCACCCTAAACAAGAGGGCAGCTTCCATATTCTTTTTCCATTCCCCCATTGCCCCAAAAGCCAAACCTTCCAGTTCCTACGGAGCACCAAGGAATCAAGAGGGCGGGTATTTCGGGTTTAGGGCTCAGGCTGCTGGATCTTTCTTTGGATCCAAGGCTTCTGGGCTGCTGCCAATGATCTTCAAACCACATAATGTGGAGAAGCAATACCAAAATGTGGTTTCCTTGCCAGAGTAACTTAAATTCAGTTCCTTGAGCGCTGCCTGCGCAGAGTCCCAAACAGCTTATGGATACCAGGTCTGCTGTGCAATGGGCAATGCAACAGAAGTGCGTCAAGGGCTGCACTCAACAACAACGTGAACACGGCCAAGGATACTTCAGGTGTCCCTCTTCCGAGTGGTGCATGCTTGGGGTTGAGAGTGAGGGGCTCAGATTTCAAGATCTACTGAAATTAGAACACAACTTTGGAGATCCGCATTGTGAAGCGAACCATCCAGTCATAATCCCTCCTGTACGAAACGCATGTCCGCACCATGAACTCCGCACTCTAGCCTTGCAAACGGAAGATCCCTATGGGAGTTTCCATAAACAAGGGGCCCCTTGTAGACCTCAATATACTATGATCGGTATGATAGGGACCCCGAAAAAAGTAGTCTTAACTTTGGGCAACCCACAAATCCCTTAATGATTGAAATGTCCGTTTCGTTTTCCAGTTGCTTTTGCATTTGATTCTCTATTATTCCTATGTGCGGAAACCCCCAAATCTCGCCAGCTCAGTGCCTGGCCTTCCGTAGCATTCCGCGCACATTCTCAGGGACGTTCTCCAGGAACCTCTCACATGCCAGCCAAGCCCCAACAGCCTTAAACCTTGCCACGCTAAACCCTCTAAATGCCCAAACCCTAAAACCCTCAGAACCCTAAGCCCTGAACCTTAATCAACCCCCAAACCCTACACCGTAAACCCTAAATTAACCCCAAAATGTTAGAATCTTTGCGTGCATCTCGCATGGATTGTCCGCAGACTGCTTGCATAAAACCCTAGAACCCTAAACCTGTAAACCCTAAACTTGGGTTTTGAACCCAAGCCCCCACACCCCGAACCCTCCCCCGAACTTCCAAGATAAGGCAGCCGACTTTGTCTCTTGGTTTGTATCATCCTAGAGATATATGGGCATTATGAGAGCCTCATGGGGATCACATGGAAAGCCAAATGGATAACGAAATGGAAATTACGGTTATAAAGGGATTTGGGTGTTTCCCAAAATTAAGGGCACCTTTTGGGCGGTCCCCATGATATGGATTGTAGTATATTGGGGTATACATTGGGGGCCCGCTACTCATGTCGGGCAGCTACCATCTATAGTCATCATGAGATTCCTGCGAGAGAATGTGTGAGGGCAGTTTCGAAAAAAGCCAGACATGCTACAAGGTGGACAAAGGGGTTCCGGAGGGCTGTCAGAACAAACCGCTGCTACTCTGCTTCCTGCTTTGACCCTCTGGAACTTACGTTCGATCGTTGATAAGAAAAATTCAGCATGACCTTAGTATACTAACATACTATAATTCTCAAGGTATAAGGCACTTCGGGTCATGCAGG